AGCAATTGTGATTCCAATCCTTAAGTCGGGCAAGGTGGCAACTGATCCTTTGACTTATCGTCCCATTGCTCTGACGAGCTGCTTCTGCAAGACCTTTGAACGCATGATAAATACCCGTTTGGTGTATATTTAAGAGAAAGGAAAGCTTATTTCTCCTCTACAGAGTGGATTCCGCAAGGGTCGATCCACTCTTGATAACCTCGTATTCCTAGAGCCCCAAATCAGGGATGCCTTTGTTAGGAGACACCACTTGGTTTCTCTTTTCTTTGATATAGAAAAGGCATACGACCGAGCTTGGCGTTATGGGATTCTCCGTAATATGTATGATTTTGGATTAAGGGGAAATCTTCCATTTTTATTTTTAACTTTTTAGCTGTTCGTTATTTTAATGTACGCATTGGTCACTCATCTTCTCATAAATTCATTCAAGATCAAGGTGTTGCTCAGGGTAGCGTTTTGAGCGTTACCCTTTTTAATATTCATATGAGTAACATACTTCATCAACTTATATCTTCAGTGCGAGGAATGCTTTATGTTGATGATCTGCAAGTCTCTTGTCAAGGTTCAGACATGCGACTAATTGAGCGACAGCTGCAAACAACTGTCAATCGATTAGTTAAGTGGTGCGATCAGAATGTGTGAACACACGATATCTCCTTCCAAGAGCAGCTGTGTCCATTTTTGCAGAAAACGTAACCTACACCCAGATCCTTCTATACATATAGGACATATTCAAATACCTGTCGTCAGTGCGGTGCGCTTCCTCGGAGTAATCTCTTTGACTGTAAATTGACTTTCCTTCCGCATGTCCTTTACTTGCGGAAGAAATGTGAACGATCCCTCAACATCCTAAAAGTACTATCCAACACCTTATGGGGAGCGGATAGAGTCTCGTTACTTCGAGTGTACCAAGCGTTTGGACTATGGTTGTGTAGTGTACGGTTCTGCTCGTGCATCGGCCGCGGTAGCCGAGTGGTATAGGTATCGGATCGTGGCTTGCCTGGTCACGAGTTCGATCCCAGTACCACTAAAGACCCGCCGTGTAGGGCAGCGATTCACGTTAAATCTGTCGAGAGCTGAAACGTCCTCCCGTTGGTGTGGTGTGGTAGTTAAGAGAGGGGTGTGCCAGCTCAGGTGTCGTCCACGTCACTTGACCATGGTTCAAAATTACGTGGTCCGTCGCCAAAAGCCCTCGTGTAGCTGAACAGTGCGACGTTAATATCAAATCATCTGCTCGTGCATCTGTATTAAAACGACTGGACACAATACATCACTCTGCTCTGAAAATCTGCTCTCTGGTGCCTTCAGAACTTCGCCTGTTACCAGCTTGTATGTGGTATGCCATCAACCACCTTTAGAACTAAGGCGGAGGCAATTAAGTGCAAATTATTTTATTCGTGCCATGTCTGTTCCTTCTCATCCAATAAAACCCTTTTCTCTTGCCATTGGTCTCACCCGACTCTATGAAGCCCGTTCATTTAACATCAGACCTTTTTCCGAAAGAGCAAAGGCTGTTCTAAATGACGCCCACCTTAATAATATAAATATCCAGGAGAATAACATCCTTGCTTTTCCAGCCTGGGACATCCAAATTTTTAACTATCACAACCCCTTTTCGGGCTATGACAAAGAAGGCACTGCTGCTGTTATTTATCAGCAACTCTTTTCTTTTCATCGCTGTAAATATTCTAAGTACATACCCGTCTACACGGACGGGTCGAAGACTGCAGGACATGTTGGGTGTGGTGTTGTTTTTAATAATACCATTTTAAGTTTTAGCTTACATAATTCCATGTCTGTCTTTAGTGCAGAATTAACGGCCATTCTTGTCGCACTTCAGCATATAATAGTTTCTAACCACCGTCATTTTTGTGTGTACACTGACAGCATGAGTGCTCTAGAGTCCTTACACTTTTGACGAGAATATAGGCACCCCACTGTGATAGAAATACTTCTTCTTCTGCGAAAACTAGAAAGGAAGGGTTTTGATATAATTTTTTCCTGGGTACCTGGACACGTGGGTATAATTGGTAATGAACAGGCTGATACCGCTGCACGATCCATGTCTGAGCACATGCAGCGGCCTGTCTGTTACCAGGATTTAAAAACTTCTGCACAGAACTATATCCATCGTGTATGGCAAGAGACTTGGGATCAACAGGTCCTCAACAAACTGTATAGCATTCATCCTTCCATTTCTCATTGGGCAGCACTACCAGTGCGAAGACATGATGTCCGCTTGACTCGACTTCGCATTGGTCACACTCGTTTCACGCACAGGCACCTTCTGTTAGGTGAAAATGCCCCAGAATGTCCCTCGTGCAAAGTCCCATATTCAGTTTGTCATATTTTAATAGATTGTCCCATTTTTAACCGTCATCGCATCACCTTCTTTCATACATCTGTTTTAACCTTATCTGACTTGGTGGGGGAAACTCCCCACCCAAACCTTTTTGCCTTGCTTTTAAAAATTGGATTTTTACATTTGATTTGTGTGTTTCTTTGTATTTTTACTATACTATATGTATGCAAGCACACGCATGCATATACATCTGTGCATATACTTTTATACATATATCTTTTACAAAATGACTTTTTCTTTTAACTAGTGTTTGGCGCAGCTTGGCCAAAATTGGCCCTTGCGCCATTAAAACTCATAATCATAATCCACTAATTTCTTATATATTGCAGTGTACCCTACTTTTTATCTGCAATTGTTACTATTTAGCTCCTTCAATGCTTTACCATTTAATAGAGTCCTTATGATTATGAAATTGTGGATGCTATTAATTTAATTTATTTGTGCGTCAAAAAGCGTTCCGCACACATTACGTCATCTCTTAAATCTCTTACAAAATTTCAATCATCTGATTAAATATGAACACGTTTTTTAGAAATAATCCACATTTAATTAAGAATGTCAATTTTCATATTGAATATTTGCAGATATGAAAGAAATCTTTCAGTTATCTCTCACTCGTTGAAAAAATAATTTATAAAGACATTTCAATTCTTATTTATGTTAAAAGTTATTTTTAGCCATTTGCAATCATGTTAAACAATGTTTACAAAAAACATGAAAAATTGGCATGCTATACTTATTACAATATTACTATACTTCAATAATATTGCAATAACTCTCAATTTTATGCGATATCTTTTGCCGAAACATCGAAATCCTAGCATTTATTTATATTTGTATTATTAATCCCATTAAACTATCGAGATCTTTTTGAATAAAATAGTTTTTTTGCTTTTTACTTAATTGCAATGAGTCCGGCATACATTACGCGTATTGTTCGAATGTACTTCACCAAAATCATTGCTGTTGAAAAACACCAGTCAAAGAAAACACGAAAAATAATAAAGTTTGCTTAAAATAAAATTTGAAGCTAAAACATTCAGAACTCTTTATTATAATATAATTACTGAAAATGATGCAGAGAATGCGCGCATGAGAAACAAGAAATCTAAACCTATGAAACTACTTTAAAGTATGATTTTTATGCCGACATTTTGAAATAAAAAATGACCCCTTTGTATTTCCAAACATCGAGATTGTCTAGTTAAATTATAAAGCATTAAGGGAGAAATGCAATGAACTGATTCAGTTATAGTTAAGTCATTGAATATCGGTAATGATCCCTTGACTGTCGATCTGTATCATTACACAAGGAACACGTGGTACTGATGATCCTTCGATAGTACTCACTTGTGTGGGATACTTTTTGATTCGAATACACTCTGGACTTCTCTTTCTTTTAGTATTGGGACCAAAGCTGTTTTAGCCGTAACTATTGGTCTTTTAGCTAATGGGGATGTAGATTGAGTTTTTTTTAGTGTTATTAGAGCCCCAATAGGGATTTTTGCTCCAGTTTCTCTGGAACAAATCGAACGAATAACCAAAAGCTTACATGGGCTGAACTTAAACTATTTTATTTGAGAAATAAGCTTTCATAATACGACAAACTATAAAGCAACGCTTGGAAACTTTGTGGGGCTTTAACATTACCTATTGAATAAGGCCATTTATTTTATTGTGCCTATAGCTTTCCTAGGAGGAAAATTGAGTTTTACAGGCAAAGTTTGTTTTAAACTTGAGAGAAACAACATAAGAGAAGCCACAGAAGATGGGATCAACGATACCATATTGATGTCTTTATTGCCCTTAGCAACAAATTTTGCGAAAAATATGGATATCGCCAAGGAATCCGAGAGAAGTCTCTAGAATCGATCCTCTTAGAAATTCCCTCGAGGCTATATAAAAGACCTTTGTTTCAAAGGTCAATGAAGTCTGCATTTAGACGAGAGTTCAGTCGAGATCAGAATCTGTTTATGTGTTGACTGTGATACAAGTAATATAAAAAAAACTAAAACGATTCCTACTTAGATCAGCAAAGAAAAATTTTATTTTAGTTACTTTTTATTGAATAATTACAACTAATATAAATATGTATATCCATGTAAGGATAATTAAATTAGATTTAAAATTAAATTCCCTATATAGCACTTAACTTTTACTTCTAATTACATATTCAAGTATTAAATTAATTCTCCGAAACATATGACCTAACCACTAAACATTTCTGATCCCAGATCATTATATTTAATAGCTCTATATATCAGCATTAACTTTCAAGTACATATCATAAAATACGACATACTTCACACAGCTGGCGTAAGGGGTAAAACACTTAGATTTCACTGTGGCGTTATTTTTTCTTTCTGCCTCTTAGCGTCCTATGATGTCGAGAATTCACTGAATAAAGTTCCCTTTTAAAATTAAGTCTAATTCTGGCTCGAAACATGTCATACATATGACAGAATCACAATATTATGTAGCATAATAGAAAGCAATTTTCCTTACAATTTTCCATTTTCCTTTTTATATAGAGTGTTGGACTATTATTTTCGCTTGTTACTATTTATTCGTTCATTAAATCTTATTTTTCCAATAAAAGAGAATAGTTAAAAAGAAATCACATTCTCAGAAATTAGGCCATATCAGGTGGGATTCGAACCCATGACCTTTGGATGAGCAGTCCAACACGCTATTCATTACGCTACAGGGATACAACGAGCGATTTTCCTTTTTATATATGGTGCTAAACTATTATTTTTGTTTGTTACTAATTATTCATTAATTAATGAATTAATATTTGAAAAAATTGTATTAACATCAAGTGTCAACCACCACAAGTTTAAAAAAAAGGTATTTGAACTTGATTGGATGAATAAAAAAGTATTTTATCAATGATTGAAAATTTGAACATTATATGTATAAATAAGTATATATATATATATATATATAGGAAGGGTGTGAACTAATAGTAGGAATTGAAAAAGAAAGAGACTTTGTCATCTTTCTAGTGAAACTGTTCCAGACAGCCTTTTCTGGAACTCTGTGAAGCCTGTTTTGAACGTGTGCCTTTTCAGCTGTCGTTAGTGATCTGTTATAATATTTGTTTCCTCGCCGATTTGTCTTCGAGTATAATCTGTTTATCCTTACCCATTAACACATTAGTTACATTCAAATAATTAAGAGTCGTCAGCTGCTTTTACTCCACGCAAAACTGAAATCCCACTTATCCTTCTTTACTATTCAGTTTCTTTGATTACATTTTTAAATGTATGTGTTTTTGGAATGATAGTGGATGAATAATAAGATAAGTATATATAATGATTTAAAAAAGAAAAGAAAACGAACATGGTTTAGTTTTAGGTATTTTGGTTTACTCATCGAAATAAAAAAGATTAAGAGAGATTTCGCTGTATTTAGAAATAAACGATTTTGTGAACATTTCAAACATGAGATTTGAAAGTTTCCTCAAAAGTTTTAAATGCCCATTGTTTCATCGCGTGATTTTCATTTCTGTTTATGCACGATATACTCTCGACACATGTATTTTTCTTTCTTATTTTACAATGAGTGCTTTCAAAGTAACTCGGATAACATTTTCCATGATCTGTAATTAAACACGCATTTCCATAATTCATATCATAAATTCTGTTCAAATCAACATCTCATGAGAGTTACACTAAGCGATAAGAATAGGATGTCTTCGTTTTGATCAACATCAGGAAAAGTTCTCAGTCCACTCACATAACAATACTTTTCATAAAACAATAATTTTATGAAATTTTTCTTTTTTTGCAATTTTATTGTATTTGGTTATTAGATATACTGATGAAATTGCATCGCATAATGAGCTAATTTTTTCTGCAATATAAGAACTGGACTCCTACTGATTGGACCAGTGTTGCCTTCGCCGTAGAGTCCTCTTTGTCGAATGGATGGACAGACGAGAAAGGTCCGAGAATATAAATGCCTTGCCACCATTACTGGAAGAACACAATGGGTGGTGACAGAATTAAAGTGTAGGAAATGCCATTGTTGTCAATCATTTACATTCATACATCTAAACCAGGGGTGGGCATTAAGTTAATAACGGTCAGCCGGTGGACCGTTAAGACACTTTTTGGTGATCCCCTGAAGATTAGCAGTTAACAAATGCATGTACCGAAATATTCAAGCTTGGCCGACAATATGTAGACTAGTCTTCTACTGACTGTTACAATTAACATTAACTTTAGATGAAAATGTTTTATTTTTTAATGTATTTCAAATTTTTTTGTTACCAACTGATCATTTGATATTTCTGTTTGAAGCTATTATTATTATGTTTGTATCTTGCGTTTTGCTTTAAACGCAGGCTTAAAAGTGTAAGTTTATTATATTATACAGTAGTTATATGTAGGTAAGTACATATTCCGTATTTATTATCAAGGTATAATAAACAGTGTAGATCTTTTTCTTAATTCACCACACCTATGCCAAGGGGGGGACCACAGTACTTTGAAAAAATTAGAAGTAGCCCGTACCCTGGAAAAGTTTGACTACTCCTGATTTAGACTATGCCGAGCTGATCTAGACTATGCAGCTGAAAGATCCGCCAAGTGCCTACCCTTTGTAAAATCCAATTTGGGGACCCCAAACCTGACTTTGCAGGGGGGAGATGGGCAAATGTTCTCCGTTACGCCACTGCGTGCAGGATTCGTAGTCTGATATTCGTATTGGTAAAATCGAGATGGTATCATTTGCTTATCATACTAAGGGTTCAAAATATTTTTCAGATTCCTTATATACATAGTGATAAATAATAACCCATAAAAATGAACAAATCTTAATAAGATTTAAGATCACATTTCAAAAATTTGTAATAGTACCACAGACTGAATACTGATATTTACACTTTTTTGTGATTTAAATAAGATGTTCCTTTACTTTTTTGTGATTCTTTATATACTGTTGTAATTTATAAGTTGCAAATTATTTTTTGAGATATTTACACTCTCTAGTAAAACTGGCAAATATAACAAAGAAACACCTGTGTTTTCTATCTTTTTCTAAAATTTCTACTAACGGTATTTAAACCAGCATCCCTGTATTAAGATCTTAAAAATACCAAATACCGGTATTGAACTTTTAGTCCGATATTGCAATCCCTAAATGTAACGAAATTTATGTGTTCACTTATAGCGAAAAAATTTTGTTCCCCTTTCTCAATCAAGCTATTCAATTTTCTTAAGATCTTTTATTTCATCTGCTCAATACATAAAATAGGGGTCTGAAAGAATACTTTTAACTATTACATGGGAAAGGGGTTACTTGCACAACATGTAGTTAGTTTTACCTTAGATATCGGATCAAATGTAAGAATGAATGAGTTCTTTTCCTACGAATAAATTTCGAATGAAAGGACCCCAGGTGGGAACAAGTTTGTTTCTTCAACCCCATTTCCATGTATCAAAAATTGTGAACAGAATATAAGCTCATATCTGCTTTCTTCGAAAAGAAATGTCATTGTTAATAAAATAGCTTTTGCCTTTTCGTTAAAATTTTCTCATGTTTTGTCCTTTTTACCTTAAAAGAACTCCTTTATAATAATTTGAATAAAATATTCAAGAGTTATTTTCCCATACACTACTTTCTTCTTACTTTCACACAGCTTGCATTTTGCGTAGCATTTTTTTCTGCTTTTTTTGAAGATTGTAAGAAAGTAAATATTTTTTCAATTCCTACTATTAGCTCACTGTCTCTATTTATTTATATATTTATCTTGTTCAAATTTTCAATCGTTAATAAAATACACTTTAAAGCGCTCAATTGAGCTGAAATTTTATATACATTTTTATTTTAGTTGACAATATGGTAATTTAATCATAATTAATAAAAAATAATTGATTAAAACTAATTATTCGAAGAAATACAGATACAACTACGTTGGCATTATTTTTGGCTACTTAGCGACCATCTTGGCGGACTTGTGTTAAAACTTTGAAAGGTTTTTCTTCGCTTTTTAAAGCCCTCATTTGAGCTGAAATTTTCTATACACAATTGTTTTGGGTGACAATACGATAATTTAATTATAATTAATTAAAACTAATTGATTGAAACTAATTATTTAAAGAATTACAGGTACAGTCACGTTGGTATCATTTTTAGTAACTTGGGTCAAAACTTCAAAATTTTTTTTTTTCTTTTACGTTTTAAAGCATTCAGTTGAATAGAAATTTTATATACACGAAATTGTTTTCGATGACAATACGATAATTTAATGATAATTAATATAAATTAATTGCCCTTAATATTGGGATTCTCTCATATGTACGAGTATATACATATTTATATTAATTGTAATTATTAGATAAAAAGTAACTATATATATATATATATATATATATATATATATATATATATATATATATATATATATAAGTTTTTTTTTTTTTTAGTAGGAATTGACTTAAAAAATTTATTTTTATATTGCTTGTTTTTGTTGTTGTTTATCAATGCTAGCGTTTAGTTTTCTGCTTTTTTTTCTTCCCTCAATGTACTTTTATCTTAAAAATAAGTATCGCAAAAAACTATTTAATGTATTATTATTTTAAAATACACTGTACGGGATTTCAAAGAACAGCGTGAAAATAAAAGTTCACTTTGAATTCTTTTGTAAAAGTAAAATACAGTTCTTCATTTGTGTGTGTGTGTGATTGTTTATTAACCTCTCCTTTTAAAGCCACACGAGAGCTTTTGGAAATAGCCTCGTAGTTTTGGACTATGGTCAAGTGACGTGAGCTGACACCACAATCTCCAAGGTTACGACTTTGTGTCGTGACAGATTTAACATACACATGATACTCTACATCAGGGGGTCGCATGGGGCCTGTCCAATATACCAGCACACAATAATATATTTTAAAAAAATCAAAATTTCTCCCGAAATAGGAAATATAATAGTAGAGAAGACATTTTAAGTGTCAGAATTTCAGTGTTTTTTTACTTATGTGTATTGTAATGTATTATATTCGAAATAAACTTACTTTTCTATGAATATTGATTTTTTGCGGCCGCCCTAAAGTTGAATCTTGTTTGCTTGGCCCAAGTTAGCCTTTGAGTTTGACACCCTGGATCTATATGGTGGATATTTAGTTGTTGTTGCGTTTTTTTTTCATCCTGGGTTATATATGAAATACAAGTGGAAGAGCAAAGACACATACTCGTAAAATACAAACAGAAAAATATAGACATTTATTACAGATGATGACCCCAGCATTTAACAAGAAGGGGTGTGTTGCTTTCCATTTGAGAAGGGAATCCATTACAGGGGAAAGTCCGACTTCTTTTCCCGATTAAAATACAACCATGCCTCTTACTCGGGATTCGAACCCGAACCAACTCGGTTACGAGCCGAGGGTCATATCCACCATACTGGCTGGGCTGCTGGATATTTAGTGGCAACTATATTTGAAAAAAATAACGCCGAACTTGATGTCGCAACTATGACTACTCGACCATCATAGGTAATAATTTAAAATGAACTAAGCACCCATATTTAAATATTGATTTTCAGCAAATATTACGGGATGAACTTAGTTAGTTAGATTTTAATAATCGGGAAATACATCGTTACGAATATTTTTGTAAATGTAATTTTTAACAAAAGCTATGTTTTTTTAAATAATTTTTTCTTACAGATATCCTGAAAAAAATAAGTGTTACTTCAATTATAGA